AAACTTCTGTTATGCTGTCCACAACACAATCTCAGTCGTTCTCCCTTCTTGCTTCACCATTAAACATAAGCAAACGCTACACATAGCTCAGAAATTAATTTGTCTTCGTGGTTTGCCCAAATAAATGTGTTGACTCTGTTCAGATTTATTTATTTATCTATCTATCTATCAATCTATCTATCTATTTATTTATTTATTTATATTTTAAGTTTGTCATCGCCCATCTCACTGCAGAGTGACTCTGTGCGGTTTACAGCAAAAATAGAATAAACAATTAAAATAAATATTAATTAATGAATTAAAATATGCTACAATAACAAACTTCCTATATAATACTTCCAAGAGGCTAATGTTAATTAGGCGTTAATAAACTCAGGAAGCATCTTCAAGGCGCCAGCCATCCCCAGGGTCAGTTGTATCTTTTCTCATCCCACACAAGTTGGCAGAGCCAAGTCTTCAATTCCCTCCAGAAAATTGGGAGTGTGTAGCAAAATTGGGAGAAGTAGCAAGCTTGTGCACTTTGGTTTCTTCTTTTGAGTATTTCCTTGCTGCCAGAAGCCTGGTTATCTAGTATGTGGGAAAGGTCTTTTCTAGTGCAGCTTCCATAGTGTACTCCTATGGAGATAGGCTTAGCTCCCACTTCTACAATATTCAGGAAGATGATAAAAACGCATCTCTTCTGCCAATCTTCTACTTGCTAATTTATTTCAGTATTTAATTTTAATTCTGTTTTTTTAGTTTATATTTGTATTTTTACTATCGTAAGCTGCCTTGATTGTTGAAGAAACAGAAAGTTGGGCTGGAAATTAAATAAATAATAAACTTTGCTCCTCCAGCATAGCTCCAAAATCATAAACTCCTGCATAATTTAATATAAGTTCAGCACCTTCATCATTTTTAAAGTATGGATGTTTGAAACAATCCAATTGATTTTTCCCATAGTTTAAGTAGACATTCTTTTTTATATTTGTAGTCACATTTAGACATTTGGGAATTTTGTGCTCTTATCACAAAATGGTTAACTAGGAGGATATTGTCAGTCACATAGAGCCCTCCTCCTAGAAGGCAAGCTGATGTGATTATTCCCTGCACCATCTTACACCAAGATGCATCCTACCATCCCAATTTGTTCTTTCCAATAAAAACATTTCCAGTGTATTTTAGCTACACACCACTTTTATTGGTATTATTTTTAAATGGCTATGTGAACCGAACGGCTTTCTTTGAAGTAAAAATAATATAGAAGTTGGTATTTTATAGCAGTGGTTCTCAACCGGGGCCGTATGGCCCCTGGGGACACTACGATATTTCAAGGGGGCCACAGGTGAAAAACATACAACAAAGAGTCCACAGCACTTACTGAGTGGAGCCACAAAAAAGCAAAGTATATTATATTGCAAATACAGTCTTGTTGATGCCAGAAAATGCACCAGTTACTGTCCCATGTTTGTATCTGGTAATGGGACATGGACAGGGGCCATAGGAGAAAAACAAGTTCAGAAGGAGACCACAGGCAAAAAGTTTTTGAGAAACACAGCTTTATAGGATGCCAGTTTCTTATTTGTTGTTCTTGTTAAAAAAATATCTTTTGAAAATAAAATAAAGTGAGCGTAGAACCTGACAAAGCCCAGGGGATATATATTCATGCATATTGGTATGTATGGGCAACATAATTCATATCTCTGTGGTAAATAGTTAAGATTAACCAGTTTTGTTACGTTTAAATGTAAGGATAAGCAGAAGCAGTCTTATCAAGAAGCACATGATCCTAAATGCAACTCTGTGTTCCTGTTCCTGTTTGGATATAATGTATAGGGTACTTAACAATAAATATATTTAAATTTAATCTGTTTAATTTTGTTCAACCTATTATAAAGTATATATTACTTATATAGCAGCATTTAAACTTAGTTCTTTTCTTGAAAGTTCATACTGTTTATTTTTAAAACATGAAAACTCCTTAAATTAAAATATGCAAAAATGTTTCAACCAGCTGAGATGCTGCAATAAAAGAATAAAGAAGATTCTCCCCCTCTTGTATAGAAAATAAATCTACAACAATCCAGGCAAGATGGTGATACTGTTCAAGAGTGATGCATCTGTCCAGCTAAGTGGTGCCCTACCTGTCCCAGAGGGTCCTCACTTTCTCTAAAGGAACAGGTTCGCAGTTTGAGGGTGCTCCTGGATCATCACTGTCACTAGAAGCCCAGGTGGCCTCAGTGGCACACAATGCCTTTTATCAAGCTTTGCTGATTTATCAACTGTGATCTCATCTGGATAGTGACAGCCTTATGACAGTTATTCATTCTCTGGTGTCTTCTCAGTTGGATTATTGTAATGTATGTGCCTCTGAAAGTGGTTTGGAAACTTCAGTTAGTTTAGAATAGAGCAGCTAGGTTGCTCAATGGGACTGGCCAATATGAACATATTATGCCAGTTTTTTGCTATATATACTGATTGCCAGTCTATTTCCAGATCCAGTTCAAAGTGCAGGTTTTGGCCTTTAAAGCCCTAAGCAGCTTAGGACCAGGTTGCCTAAAGAAGCACCTTTTCCCATATGACCTACCTGGACTTTAAAATAATCTAATGAAGCCCTCTTCCAGGTCCCCTCATTAAAGGTGAGGTGGGCATCTTTAAGCAGGAGACCTTTTCTGTGGTAGCATTCTACTTACAGAATTTCCTCCCCATGGAGGCTCGACTGGCACCCATATTATCATTTCAACACCAGGTGAAGACCTTTCTATTTTCCTAGGACTTTTAACTGTCTTTTAATTGTATTTTAAGTGCATTTTAATTCATATTGTTTTAGTTTTGGAATGACTGCCTTGTAGCTGCTTAGTTTATATGGTGTTTTATTTTGCATTTTATTGTATATGTTTTAAATCAAATTGTATTTTTTTCAATATGTTTTATTGTAAACTACCCAGAGAACTTCAGCTGTTGGGTGGTTTAAATAAATAAATAAATGACATTTTATTTCACTTTGCAGAAATACTACACTGATTGTTGTATGGCTGAAGTACAGTATAGGTAGTCCTTACTTAACAACCACAATTGGGACCAGCAACTCCATTATTAAGCAGCACATCATGTGACTGCACCAGACTTATGATGTCAGTTCTGCTGCGATTGTTAAGCGAATCACCCATGATCGTTAAGTGAGACATCACGTGACTTGTGATTTTACTGCCAGCTTCTCCATTGACTTTGCTTGTCAGAAGCTGGCCGTGAAGCTCACAAATGGTAATCACTGCAACAGTCATAAATGCCTGCCGGTTGCAAACTGCTCAAATGGCGATCACATGGCTGCGGGGACACTGCAACAGTCATAAGTTTGAGGACTGGTCATAAAGTTATTCAGTGCCATCGTAACTTTGAACAGTCACTAAACAGGGCAGTCGTTAACCGAGGACTACAATAGTGTTGTAAAAATTTATTAAAGCTACTGGGTTTTTTTGTTGTTTTATCTCTTCCTCAGGTAACTGATATTTTGAACCTCTGGGTTGAAGAAAGCAAAGAAATAAATTTCACAAACTATATTTAGATATTTAGCATTGCTAGAACGGAAAATTTCCAACAAAACCAGATTAGATTCATAGACTTATTTTATTGTCCATGTATTCTTGTCTTTCACATTATACATAACACTTTTTCTATTTTGCTAGAACTAATTTTTATAGTATATACCTTGTTTGCTGGAAAACATTGAGATATATCATAGTGGGTGTATATAGCTATCAGAGCACTTTAAAATATGCAAGATATTATTCATGAATAAGTAATATCCATGAATAAATAATATTTCCTATGGCTACTCTCAAAGATAAAAATCAGTTATAGCCATGTGACTTTGGTGTCAGCCAGTGGACAAAAGTGAGCTAAAATAATTCAAAATATTAAAAAGTAAATTGAAGAGTAAATGAAAGCTATGATTTCCCAAAGGCCAGCTTTTTGTGGGGGGAAAAAAACGTATTAACTTTTCTGTATGCTCTGTAGTAACTGTATTAGTGTGATTTTAAGATGACATGCAAATATAGAAAAGCTGCTTAACCACAGCAGATGGCTTCACACAACAGAAAACATGTTGCACCTGTCTAGCTTTATTAAGGTTAACATATTCATGTATATTTGTGGTTAATGTTTAGTGATTGAGAGCTGAATATGTGCATGAATCTGTTACAACTTTTGTGCTTGAAGGTACGTAAACAGATCCGAAACCTTATTCAACAAGCCATTACTTAATAATGCAGCCATCCAGATAAGAAATGCATGTTTTCTAAGTCCATATATTTGAGGTTCTGGTCCACTTTTCCCAAGACTTGTCTTATATGCCTTTTCTTTAATTCCTGTGTGAAACCAGGATTGGATTTATTGAATTAGCATTAGTTCACCAATTCATTATAGTCAAGACATAATTAGTATTCTGTCTCACCAAAGATTATTCATTTTTGTTCTTTGGATAATTTCCTAGAAAGGGATATAATCCTGAATGGTATGTGACATTTTAAGTCCTTAGGTTTACAAGAAATAAAGCATAAATATATATTTAGTATTCTGTCTGTAAATTACAGAGAGGATATGCAGATAGAGTCCTTTGTTAATTGAAAAGTGCAGTCAGTCTAAGTAATGGAAATTGAATTTTATCTTTAGCACATTGAAGGAGAAAATAATTTAAGAGTCTGATAGGAACTTAATATTAAATCATTGTGGCATAAATAATCTCTGCACTAGAGCCTTGCTTCAGAATAATTTTGCTAATATTATGATGCTGCAAGACACTTCCATCTTTGATATAATAATCCAACAGTGCTGTTATTCTGGAATGTGAAAAAATAAATGTTTTCTGGTTTTTGAAATAGTTCAAATCTTTGGATTTTGGATTCTTTTGCATCTAAAATACACATTTTTCAAGTTTTCATCTGGAGTCAAAACAAAATTATTTTTTGCATTTAAATATTTCCAAATAGGAAGGCTAACATCTTTTTATCTTTTCTGTGTAGGTACTTCCATTCCCTAGCCAGGTGGTGTACAATAGGGTTGGAAAATGTGGGAGCCGGACTGTGGTTTTGCTGTTAAGAATTCTGTCTGAGAGACATGGGTTCAATTTAGTTACATCGGATATTCATAATAAAACCAGACTTACCAAGAATGAACAGGCAAGTTACCTGCTTACTTTTTCCCATTTTATATTGGAAAGTTCATAGCATTGATGGGATTTTAAATGCATTGCACTAATGTCTGTTAGAATACACGCACACACACATACACACACACTGTGTGTGTATGTATGTGTGTCAAATATTCATTCTGGTTAATACTATAAATTAGGACTGAGCAGGGAATTGAGGGGGGACGGAATTGCTTCATTGGTATTGAAACACACCCTGCCTTTAGGCAGTTTGGTGGAGATTGACTACATGAATGGAATGATATGAATGAGTAGAATCTAGTACAGGCAGTCCTTGAGTTACAACCATTTGTTTAATGATGGTTCGAAGTTATGGTGGCACTGAAAAAAGTAACTTATGACTGGTCTTCGCACTTACAACTGTAGTACCATCCCCACATTCGCATGATCAAAATTTGGGTGCATGGCAACCGACATGTATTTACAACAGTTGCAGCATCCCACGGTCATATGATCGCCATTTTTGACCTTCCCAAGGGGCTTCCAACAAGCAAAGTCAATGAGGAAAGCCGGATTCGCTTAACAACCATGTGATTCACTTAACAACTGTGTGATTTCCTTAATGACCTCAGCAAAAAATGTAAATTTGGGTGCGACTCTTAACAAACGCATCGCTTAGTGACAGAAGTTCCTGTCCCAGTTGTCAAGGACTACCTCTAGTGCTTCAGAGACTTTTTGTTAGCATCACAGGTACAGTTTCTCATGTACAACCAAGCTATTTTGTTTTCAGAGAGTGGACTCTCCAAAGCACATTTTCAGAGCAGGATAAGGAACTGCTGGTGGAAGGAAATCATTTGTATTCTGTCAGAGGAAATTATTTTCACTGATGGAATATACAATTGGATGCTATGCTAAATGTCCATTATTCAGGAAATATTGTCTTGAATAGGGTTTCTTTAGTCGCACATTAATAATATACTGTATGTATGGCCAACCAGTCTGGGAGGCATGGCCTTCACATTTATTGCCATTTCTTTCACTGGGGTTTAATTATGTAGCAGTGTGATATCATTGTGTTTTCTGGCCTTTGCTCAGATCATTCTCTGAAGACATTTCTAACTGAATTAAAAATAGCACAAAGCACTAGATTGTTATAATTGCTTTGCCAAACAGGTGTGAGAAAATGCGAACATTCCTAGATGTTGATGGTTATTTTTCTGGGAAAAAATGCTCACCCCTATCCTCAAAGCATTTTTTGTGCTGAAAACTAAAATGGCTAAATATACAGTGCAACCCTAAAATGAACCATGGAAATTTTCAGTTCAGCATATTTGTGCTTGTTTTTTGGGATCAAAAGTTAAAAGCAAGCATCAGGTTATAAGGATTAGTGAAATTGTGTAGCTGATAGGCACTTGCAAATTATTTATGATAAGGCCTTGAAGTTTAGAACCTGTAAGAACTAATAAAATATATCAAAGGAATTAAAACATTAATTGGGCCTTTGGGAAGAATAGGTGTATGAATGAGAGGAAATGTTGGGGAAGAGTGATGCAGGGAATAGAATTTGGAAAAGAAGTAGATGTTTGAATCAGCAAGCTGGTGTATTGCGCATTAAAAATAGTTGTCCTGTGTGTGAATATGAATATTATAATTATTTGTGAGCTTGTAGGTATTTGAGTGTTTATTATCATCACCAGCTCAAATCAATTTACTGCAGGATTATGGCCCCTTGTGATCTACCACTCTGGTCCAGTATGGGTTGGTATATAAATGTTTTTCAACTTCCCAGTCTAGGCTGGAGAAGAATGACTGGCTGAGAATCATTCAGCCAGCTCCTGTGCCTAAGGAAGGACTAGAACCTGGGTCTTTCCACTCCTGGTCAAGAACCTTAAACACTATACCACACTAGTTCTCATATGGATGTGTATGTCCATTCGTGGAGAAGACTTATAAATTGTTACTGGATAAGTAGTTACAAATATTTTCTTTCCATCAGAAGAAAGGCCGAGTATGTTTCTAGCAGCCTATATTCTCAGCACTTTATAAGCAGAAGGTTATGCTGAGTATCAGTATTTTATATGATTCAGACCTGTAGATAATAAGAATATATTCAGGCTGTTTGGTATTTGCCTATGATGCTGACACAATAATGGCTAGTGCCTGTTGCAGCTTGTGGAGTGAAAGGCAGTATTCTTGTTGGTGAATCTGGGATTCACAACACACGGAGTTAACAATAAGCAGAAGAAACCTAAAGAGGTAAGTAAGCTGAGGTCATAAGCACATAACAGATAATTGAGGAATTGTCTTATCTGGATAATAACTCAAAAGCACTCCAGAGAACCCACAGTATTGCTGTTCCAGTAGCAGCACATTGCATCGGACAAATTGAGTTTAATACAGTTTTAAAGACTCGGATTTTTAACAGAATTCCACTTTTTAAAATGTAAAAATCAACTAATTAAATTTAGAATGTTGATTCATAGCCATGCACATACAAACATATTAGGTCACTCCTAAATACCTCCAAAATTCCATTTAAAAAATGAAAAATAAATAGGAACAGCTTTAAAAAAGAAATGAGCTCCTCTTCCTCACTGCCCTCAGATAGCTTTTACGATTGTTCTCATGTTCTCACATTAATAAAGGAATTCCACCTATCTCTACCACATAGACGCATACACTGAATGAACTGGATGAACTGAACCTTTATTGACTGATTGGACGGAACACCCAGGACCAGATGCAAGTAGTCCTCGACTTACAACTTATGACCGCAATTTGGACCAGAACTTCTGTCACGAAGCGATGTGGTTGTTTAGTGAGTTGCGCCCAATTTTACGACCTTTTTTTGCTGTGGTCATTAAGCAAATCTGGCTTTCCCCATTGACTTTGCTTGTTAGAAGCCCCCTGGGAAGGTCACAAATGGCGTTCATGTGACCCCTGGGATGCTGCAACCATCATAAATACATGCTGGTAGCCAAGCGCCTGAATTTTGATCATCTGACCACAGGGACACTGTGATGGTCGTAAGTGCGAGGACCAGTCATAAGTTACTTTTTTCAGTGCCATTGTAACTTTGAATGGTCATTAAACAAATGGTCATAAGTTGAGGACTACCTGTGCAGAAATCAGGCAGATTGTGCCTCCTACATGCTCTCCCTACTTTGATAGGCAATGAGAAGTCAATATATATGATGCTGGAAGAAAACAGAGTGGCTTGGGTGCAGCTGCCAGTTATAACTTCTGTGAAATCTAGAACATGGATATTCGTTCCTGCATAGTGAGAATCGAGAAATAATCTTTCCCAGCAGAGAAGAAGAGGAAAAGGGAGATGGGATCCTACAAGCACTATCCACAATGGAGGGATGGTTGGTGAAGATGATGGAACTTGCAGAGATGGCCAAACTGACTTCCTTGATTAGAGAAAAGACAACATCTATGTTTATTGCTGACTGGAAAACCCTTATAGACTATTTTCATGAAACAGAAAAAAATGATCTTATGATTTATGGCTTTGATGATTAGAAATAAAAGATAATAGAAAAAAGAGAGCTTTTCTTTTTGTAACCATAGAATAAAAGGTAATTTTGTAATTGTACCTATATTTGCTGCAAAGAAAATTGGAAGCTACTTCGTTCTATTTCTTTTCATTCTTTCTATTTGCACTTTTTGTCTTTTTCTTTTTTCCTTTTTTTTGTTTATTTTATATTTTTGTTAGTTTTCATCTTTTATTCAAAACTTAATAAAAATTTTATACAAAAAAAATGAAATAAATCATAACAAAGAAGAATTTGCAATGGTTAAATCACCCAACTCTAAAACTTTAAGTTTAAAATAAATAAAACATGTATCAATTTTCTCCCATCACTTTGCAATTATTTTCAGAGAGATACATTTCAGTGATATGTTATTTCTTAGATGCATGTTGATTTTTAAAATAACATAATATTATGTATAATGTATAGCAAACATTGATGAAATAATGTAAGAGGAACACACAGTTTATAAATAAACCTGAGTTAAAGCTCTTTCTAGTTTTCTTTTTCCTTTAAATATGACAAGTTTTATTCCCAAGTAATACAATTATATTATATTTGAATAACATTCAATTTTATTTGCAGTCTTTGTATAAGTAGCCTTTGCCATTCTCCTGTGAGTCACTTCTTAATGCCACCAGGTGGAGTATTGGTGAAAATGCAGTCTGTTGTTTTACTGAACTTGTAATATATTAGATTTGAGTAGGAAGAATATATTAAAAAACAACAACAACAGGAAACAATAGTTGTCTAGAATCCTGAAATACTTATTAGGAAGTAACTACCCACTGTAATGCTGTTGGTATATTATCTTTTCTCTGTGACTTCCAAGTTTTATACAGTATTGTGAAAATAAACAAGTTAGAAGTGTAATGGTTTTATTAAATGCTTTGTTAAATTTATTTAAAAAAAAATTGAAGCTGAATTCCCTTCAGGTTTCATACTATATACATACACTCCCATAACTTACATTCATACACACATACCAGCATGCCCATCCCTTTTTGATTATAGTAAGCCAAAGAAATTATAAGGTATAATGTAAAGAGAAAAGAAATGTAGCTTATCTTATTTACACAAACACCATTTTCTATGTCTCTCCATATCTTTCTATAATTTGAAGCCATCCTTGTTTCCTTGTTACATTGCTTTTTATCTTGCCTTTTGTTCTCATCTCTTGTTTTTGAAAATCTCATCATGATCGTCCAACCACAGTTTTATGGAACTTCCTTTCCTTTCAACCCATTCATTTTTCTTTTATATTTAGAAATACAAAAGCATTAATTCATTATGAATGGGGAGGTTGTTTGTATTTTATTTTTTGCTACTTATGTCTAACTTACAGTTGTTCAGTACATTTTCCCTGTCAAACTGAAGTACTTTGATATATGGGACATTAATTGTCAGATTTGTTGTTGCCTATCACTACAAATCATTCAGGTTCTCATAGCATCATCTGCATATATTCAGATCCAACCAATGCAGCTTTAACATCACCACAAGAATTTCTTATAAATTTATCCATACATATATAAAGCAACCAAACAGAGGTCACATCCTTGTCTTAATCTGTGTTAATCTGTGTTCACTGTTGAACCATTTATTGTATCTCTTCTCATGCAAGTTTTACTTCCATCATTGTACTATTACTGCATTCAAGAACCAACCAATCCCAAACCATTTCATTACTTTTATTTTTAATTCCATTCATTCTGCTGGAGGTTTCTTAGCAGCTATCAACTTTTCTACCTATACATAACCTACAATATATTTCTCTCATCCTCATTTTTTTTTTTTTTTTTTGCAGCAATCATTCTTTATAAGCATTTTTCCCTCATCCACGGCTTCTTTCACTACATAATTTCACCAGGCATCCTTTTTCATACTTTGTCTTAGCATAACTTGACACAGTTCTGTGGTACTCTGTACCAATTATTTTCATTCTACTTCAGGCAATTTCCATATCCTCTTTCCTTACACTTTTCATTCATTCTGTCTTTCATTAGTTTTTCATACAGTACTTGTACTTTGTATTCTTGCAGTTATTCTACTTCTCATTTTTTCCCCATGTCCTTCCATGCTTCCCCCCCCCCCAAGATCCACTCTTGGCACTACCAAAAAATGATCTGCCCCACATTCTGAATCTCTCATCAACCTCGTCAGACTAATTATTTCAGTCTTTTATCCTACACAATCAAGTCAATCATGCTCTTAAGTTTATATTCATTCCTTTGCCAGGTGTATGAATATATGCATAGACTTATGCTTAACCATGTATTCAAAACATACATTTCTGTAAGCAGATACTCAAAAAGCTGTTACCATTCTCATTCATTCTTGGCTTCTGAACGGACCAGTGACTTTTTTGTGCTCTCTTCTGTCATTCCCACCCATCCATTCATGTCCCTAATAATTTTTCTGTTCAACACTGTTCACTGCACAATTGTTTCATCTGGTGGTTCTATTATCACCATTCATTAGAACATAACATTCAACTCTTATTAACTTAATGATGCCAATTCATACCTTCTGACATGCATTATAACCCTTTCATTTATAATCAAACCTGTACCTTCATTTCCCTAGAGGTGTTCATCAGCATCACTGTTCAAGATCAGACCATCTTCCTTTAGTTCTATTACTTCCTTTCCGTTTCTTTTAATTTCCCAGCACACATCAAATGTATTTTTTCCTTACACTTCTCTTAACTGATTATCGAAAAAAATTGAAATATAAACTGCCAAGGTCACAAAAATTAGATTTACTGTAGAGAAACTAATGAAGACATTAGGAAAAAAATTCCAGAGACTGGCAACTCTCTTTATAATGAAATCAAGATTCTCATTCTTGCATTTGTTTCTTCTACCTTCACATGTAATAGGTTAGAAACATCTTGGGCAAGAGGGATTGTTTCCACCTGTCTCTTGTTTTGGTAATGGATTTGTCTGGCAGTGGATTTATGACTGCATGAGAACTGGCTGTCACATTTAATCCATTAACTGATGTTCTTTATCATGTAATCCTGTTACATTCCAAGACAAAATCTTCCATATGCCATGATCATCACCAAAGAGACTGATAGCTGTTGACCTCTGCTTATCAACATGGACTTAGTCAATCAAAGCTTTCCCAAAACACTTTTTATTAATATAGAGAAGATGTAGACTGGTTTTGCCCATGCCACATGTAGCATTCCCTGATAACAGTAAGAATGGCGCTGGTTAGTTTTGATGTGTTTTGACCACTATGCCACAAGAATAAGCAAACCATAGTTCTGTCCCCAAGCATGCTCATGCTGTGGCCCACATCCCATGATCTTGGGGGACTTGTAATGTACAGGTAGTCCTTGGCTTACAACCACAATTGGGACCGGAACTTCTGTCATTAAGCGATGTGGCTGTTAAGTGAGTCACATCCAATTTTATGACCTTTTTTGCCATGATCGTTAAGTGAATCATGCGGTTGTTAAATGAATTTGGCTTCCCCCATTGACTTTGCTTCTCAGAAGCCCGCTGGGAAGGTTGCAAATGGCAGTCATGACCCTGGGACACTGTAACTGTCGTAAATACATGCTGGTTGCCATGTGCCCGAATTTTGATCACGTGACCCTAGGATGCTGCAACCATTGTAAATACATGCCAGTTGCCAAGCGCCCAAATTTTGATCGTGTGATTTAGGGGCACTGCAGTGGTTGTAAATGCAAGGACCAGTCATAAGTCACTTTTTCCAGCACTGTCATAACTTTGGTAGTTAAATGAATGAATGAATTCGAGGACTACCTGTACTGACACATCTCAGGATGCATGTACAGGTAGTCCTCGACTTAAGACAACAGTTGGGATAGGAACTTCTGTTGCTAAGTGGAAACCCCCTGGGAAGGTCGCAATTGTCAGTCACATGACCCCAAGATGCTGCAACCGATGTAAATACATGCTAGTTGCCAAGTGCCCAAATTTTCATCACGTGTGATGGAATGTATCTACAAGGAGGAGAGTGATGTGGGAGATCAAGGCTATCAGGAAGGAGGGGGTGCATTCCAGCAGGGGAAAGGAGACAAAAGACAATGCCACCCACAAGAGGAGGTTCAGGGTAGCTACTCCCTAGAATCTCCCAGGGTATATTCATTAGTTGCTGTAGTATAGATTTAGTATGGCAAGATTCTGTTTATAAGGTGTAAGCAAATAAAGGAACTATACTCAACTGGACCGTTTCATCATTGTTCTTGGGGCTGGGCCTGATATCATGTGACCGTGGGGATGGTGCAACAGTCATAACTGCAAGGACTGGTCATAAGTCACTTTTTTCAGCGCTGTCATAGCTTTGAACAGTCATTAAATGAATGGTCGTAAATCGAGGATTACCTGTATTGATTTATATCACCTAACTGTAGTGTATGAATGTATCTTTATACAGTTATGTCCCATTGTACAATTATGTAATATCCAGTTTAAGGGACATAATCAAGTGTGTGTTCTTTCTTAAATTATCATTTGGAGGCTTTATAAATAGACAGTATACAGATTATAGAATAAACTGACTAAAGCCTAAATCCCTGGCAAGAAAGCCTAGAATTCTTTTGCAGACATCTAATTTTAACACTTTTGGATTAATGTAATACAGTATGTTCCAAAAGCTTTGAGGCTTTGCAAAACTAAGCAGAACATAGTTGCAGAAATTACTTAAATTCACGCCTTTCAAAAAAAGGCAGAGAAGGGTCCTAAAATTGGATTATTTTTTGAAAACAAAATCTCTATGGAAACTAAACACAAATAATATTCCTGAAGGACTTGAATGAAATAGTGAACAACATCAATTGGTAATGTGCTTATTTAGAGCATAGCGCACTGATGAAAATTAGGAATGAAATATAAATACAGTTATTGTACATCAATTTGCATCATTTTTTCAGGAGAAATTAGCTCTGATTTAATTAAATTTAATGTGCTGTCTTTTTAATTACATAAAATGTATGCACATATTGTTTTGTTTGTATGCTTTATGAACATGTTGGGGTATCTAGGTAGCTGACTGTGATTTGTTTCTGCTGCTTCTGCTCACTAGTACTTGTGCCTTAACGCTTCATGCTCTGTAAAATTGGCAATAGGAAAAGAAGAAAATTAATGTTTAAAATTGTAAATTTCAGGAAAAATGTTGAATATCTTTTATATGAAAAACTTTTCATGTTTTTCCCCATTACACTTAGTGGGTAGTCTTGCCACAGTCTCATGAGTCAGTGCCCAAGTGAAACAAACGTCTTTTCAGGGCTTCTCTTTGGAACTGTTTATCTTAATTTTTGTATCTTTTTGCTTTTAGATGGAATTGATTAAAAATATAAGCACTGCAGAGCAGCCCTATTTATTCACTAGACATGTTCATTTCCTCAATTTCTCAAGGTAAGGAAGTTCCTCATTTGATTTTAACAGCATGCTATAATGAACAGACAATTGATTTATAGAATCTCTTTAGTTTCTATTTAAAGTTTGGCTACAGCAATGTGTGTATAAAAAACATTTTTTGGGGAATGGATAACTGGTTTACCATGCCAGTCTGCCTGCTTCTTTGTTTATTTTGATCACCCTGTGATTTATTTGGGGAATATATATGTACAGACACACACCCCATAAAAGCATAAGATTCTACCATAAGAAAGTTGCCTTTCTGCCAGAAAACAGAAAAACTGTGATGCAGAAATTCTCCTGAGCTACCCATGCTATCAAGATTGAGGATTTTTTGACAGGAAGGAAGGAAGAAGGATTTTACATCTTTACATTACTGAGCAAAGCATTCAGAAAAAAATGTACATCTTTATTTTTATTAGTTTGTATGCACTATATGCTTCTTTCAGAGGTCACTTGAGTTTCTAAACTTTCAAACTGGAAAACAGTATCATATTATGCAAAGAAGAATCTTCTGCCAAAATTCCATTTGATTTTTAAAAATGTTCCACTGCACGTATACTTTGCTATTGAAGAACATTAGCTGTTAAAGTTTACTCTTGTAATCTGAAAACTCTTGGGATAGGATATTTCAAGTTATAATCACATATGCTTTATGATCTAACATATCACAGAACTTAGAGGAATTAAGTAAGTTAGAAAAACACTATTAGGCTGAGGAATAATTTAAATTACAAAATATTGGTTGAGAGAAATCATAGAATAAGAGGTGTGCAGACTGTTTTAGTGCACATGAAAATCTGTGTAATGTCCTGTTTCATTTGCAAAATGGTGCCTTTTCCAAAATTTCACATGAGAAACTGTTAGAAATGAAATGTTTTGCACATCTCTGTGCTAGAATTATGCAAACCAATACTAGAAACAAAAGAAAGTTTATACAGGTAGTCCTTGACCTACAACCATTCAGTCAGCAACTGTTCCAAGTTACGATGGCACTGAACAAGTGGTGGTTATGACTGGTCCTCAGAGTTCTGGCTGTCCAAGCACCTCCGCGGTCACGTGATCATGATCTGGGTGCTTGGAAACCTGTGTGCGCTTACAACTGGTTGCCAAGCACCCCACGATCACATGATTGCCGTTTGCAACCTTCCCTGCTGGATTCCCCAGAAAGTCAGTGGGGAAGCCAGCAGGGATGGTTGCAAGTCACTGGGGTAAGTCTCCCCCATCCACGCACCCTCTCCCAGCCCCTCTGTGTGCTGGCCACTCATGCACCCCCGCACACCCTCCCTGACCCACACCTCACGCACAGACTTTTCTGTATTTTTTCTTTATTTGGAGCTACACGTAGGTAAACTGTCAAATGAAACATCAGGATGAGTTTAATTGGGTATGGCATATGGTCGATTGAGCTTCTGAAAAATATCACAGTGCTGGGTTATAATTCTTAACTTCCTCCAGCTGCTTATTTTTTTATTGAAAGATTGGTACTAGGGAAGAAGGAACACAGTAAATACTTCTTAGCTGGAGCAATTGCCTTAGTTATGCAAACATAAATCAAAGAAGGGTGGAAGTGCCTACAGTACAATCTATATGTGTCATGATGAAGTGATGTATCTTCTGGACAGATATTGAGAACTCTTGAGCTCACTACTAAGTGGATGAAATTCTATTCTCTATGAGACTAGTGGGAGGTATGCCACAAATTATAATGCTGAACTCCCTCATATTTTAGTCTGCTTCACCATCTGCTACTCGTGTCCTTGAAATTTTGCATTTACCAAACTAAGATATGTGCATAAATCTGTGTCTTCCAATTCAAATGGATAGCTTTTCTGAATGCCAAGTAGGTCACTAAGTACATGTTTATAGTTTAATGGATACCTGTAGACTTTGTAGGCGGAGAGCTGTGTTAATCCTTGGTAGCCAAAAATCAGGAGGAGTCTGATGGCCCATTTTTAGACTAACAAATTTTATCCAAAGGGATAAGCTTTTCTGAGCTACAGCTCACTTCATTGGATGCATGGAATGGCTAATCTAATGTAGGACTTAAATTGGGATGAGGCTAGGGGACTGGAGAAAGTAGGGGAAGACAGGGTCGCTAGGCAAATGCAGGTTATATGTGAGAGTCATTACAAGTTTCGTTTAAAGTACCTCATCCCAACTTAAATCCTACATCACTTTATCTACTCCATGCATTGGATGAAGTGGGCTGTAGTTCATACAAAATTTTATCTTTTTTAATAATATTTGTTAGTCTGAAAAGGTGCTCCCAGACTCCTTGTGATAATTGGTAACTGCATATGCCTAGAATAGCAGGTGCACTCTTTTAGTGCCTTTTTCTACTATCAAAGAAGATAGGCCACAGATAGTTCCAGGGAAGTGAGAGGAATATAAAACAGGCACCAAATTCAAGTGGACTGAATTGATATCCTCTCTCTGAATATGAAGCTGAGTTGGGTACTGTTGGAAAATTAAATGGCAGCAAGATCTAATTCATCAATACTACTTGAATCAATTTTCTGACAGAACGTTCCATAGTTACATGTGGACTTTCTATCTGGTAGCCACCCTTTTCACTTTTGTTGGTGAGACTATAGAAGACTTCTGGAAAATACCTCAGTATGCAAGCTGGCAGATAGCATAGTCAGGCTATTGATTCATCTGGTTCTGCAATATCTGTTCTGACTTGGGCTATATGCCACATATGGGCTATATTAATGATCCATTGTTTCTTTGTAAAGGAGTGATGCTCGGACTGTGGTCTACCAGATATGCAGTCTCTCCATGCTTATCACCATTCAGTTGGCCAGAGCCGCCTTACTGTCTCAGCCCCTGCTTCCCCCCCAGTCACTGTCAGTCAACTGATCAGGAATTTGCTCACTGGCTTGCCATCTCAGTCTCAGCTCTTTCAGGGTGATGTCACAACATTACTATTTTCATGAAGAAAACGTCTCTCTTGGTTAGATTGCTTGTTGCAGCCTGGTGCTCTGAGACAGTGTTGGTAACAGAAAGGGTACAAGGTTGCAGTATCTCTCTACTCTTAACCTGCCTACTTTCTACAAAGTGATAGGCCAATTGCTATTTTTACTGTTTACATGAGTGTTTTTATATTCATTGAGTTGATTTTTACTGACAGAACTGATTGATTGGTAAATACAAGTGATAATACAAATAGCAACATGAGCACTAAAATTCAGAAAACTGACAGTAGTCTGGAGTACAGGTGTTGATTGCCATTTATCAAGTATGAGTTCATATGTGCTATGGTGATGAAACTATGATCTTCAACAAGCCACCCAAATAGAAAAATGCAAATAAATAAGACAGTGAATACCTACAATAATGTGGGATTTCATTGGGTTGGAAATTTACTCATCCCTAGCCCTCTGGATTTTTTTTTATTTTTTTATTTTTTTTGCTTTGTGAACAGGTGACAGGATTGCATCTTTCCTCCTCTCATGAGTTGCATGGTGAAATAAAAAGGATCTTCTTAACAGATATATTAAATCAATTGGCAAGTTAATTCCATGTTAACAGTTACCATTTTGAATTTCTCACACAGACCCAGTACAAAGTTGCCAAAGACTGAGTAGGCTCTGAGCAAGTGCATGGGAGTCAAAAGCCTAAAGCTGGTGAGACCACCCCAGCTTGCATTCATATACCTTATCACTTTGTCAGATTATCAGGTTATAAATTAGTCAAAGTTGCATTATAAGACAAGCTAACATTAATATTACCAGTATTATTATTTTACCAATCTAATAATGGAAACAAGAAATAGGATGGATTTAATCCTCCAAAGAGAATTGCTGCAATTCTGCAAACTTCATTAAACTTATATTTTTTTAATATCAGTCTGATAATTTTATTTCTTGCTTGGGTAATGCAGTATTCTAAAATAATAATAAATATAATAAAACTTATGTTTTAACTGTTCTGTTCTCAGAATGGTAAACTGTGTGCTGAAATAAGCCAGCAGTTCACTCAGTTGGGTCCCAGACTACATTAGCTTGCCAATATGTCTTTGAAGCAATTTATTCTGTTTAAATTTCTCAAAATACATTGTATGCTTTCCCAAACTAAGCATTCTTTCTCCAACTCTTGTTATTAGTTACTATATTTCCTAGAACAGTTTCATGAGTTGACGACACATAAATTTATGGCTTTAATTACAAGCCTTTGTTCCCTTTGTGTTGACCTTGTGGGTTAGTGTATTCAACCTCTCATTAAGTGTTAACTGATTGTCTTTCTGATGGTTCTTTTGTACAGAATTGATCTGCTAGCTAAACTGGAATGACATCATGAAAAATAAATAAGAAAAATAAGCATTTGGCTTACAAATTTTGTTCATAATCCCATCAGAGATTTAAAATTAACAATTCTGTTTGGACAATCTTAGCATTAGTATTTTGGGAGCAATGAATTCTTACAATCCGTTTTGTCAGGCAGCTGTTATTTTGCATGGAATATTTTGTCCTTGTTCTAAAACAAATAATTATATAAATACATTTTATAGTATTTCAAGCTTTGCTACTGGGAAAATGACTGATCTGCACAAGTGTCAGAGGGCTAAAGTTTGGAAGAAGCACAGAGCACTCTAGGGAATAACTGAAATGTCAGTCTTAAATACAAATTTTGGTTTATATTAAAAACAACTTTATATTCCAGTAATACTATTCCCAATATTGCATTTATAGTGATGACATGGTACATAATCTGAGGAATGTCTAAAATGCCTTAGTTTCATGAAAAACTTATAGAAAAGTTAACATCAGATATCTGTTTATTGAATTTAAAGGATTTATACTGCAGTAAGGCTAGATAGAATTATATTAGCATCTGAATTGTTAAGAGTATCTAAATCCTATTAGTACCTATTGACACTGTCTTTCAAATATATTATGTATATTGACACTGTTTTTCATCTCTCATTTCACATATTGTTCTTATATGGATCTGAAAGTAATAGTCCAATTTGCCGGTATGTATTTTGAAAGTAAGCCTTAAAATGATCTTAGGATAGAATTTGTACATAACTGTTTTATAATCTATGTACATTTAAGGATTTATAATCACCGGTGAGTTGGAGATCTTAGCTCTAACATAGTTATCCTTAGATAGGTAATATCTAAGATAATAGATTTATGCTCAAACATTTTTAAAAGGTTTGTATTACATAGTTGTCATGAATTCTTTCTACCCTTTTGTAAGCTTTTATACATGGAAATAGCGTAGCTAGCCATGGTGATGATTCAATTGTCCAACAGAACATCTTCACAAATAAATGTATTTAGGATCATAGAATTGGAATGTTGTACTGAATTTGAAAATCAATTTATTATTTATTGCCATGTAGTGCAGGAAGTCTCACATCTGGATTTTCAATTTTGCCCTGACCTTTCATTAAGATTTCTTGCATTTGTCCTGAAATATGTTGGCCTTTTTAATTCAGAAAAATAAGATCTTTTCAGGTTTTCACTGAAATAGTTCACTGCTCCTCTCTCAGTTAATCCTTAAACTGAAAAATATATACTAACTCCTCTAGGACATGGAAGAATAAGAAAATATTTACTGGGAAACAAGGCATTCACTTTTTGGACAAATTTTCTGCTTAGAACCCATTATTACTTTAACTATACTTATTATGGTCTCTGTGGATGGTATAGGAAAGCCAAATGCATTAGCATTATTGGAAGTAAGCAAATGAGTGTCTGGTTAATATTTCACCTAGATCAAAAGCACAGGAAGCCCTATATAGAAGCAGGATAAATTTACTTCATTTTTTTAAGTGGGCTCTGTTTTTGTCTGCAGTCTTGCATCTGGTTCTGCTGTCAACAGTGGCACAATTCAGTTTATAAAATAGGATAGGAAAAGATGCTAAATTAAATCTAATCTTACAGTAAACTGTCTTGTCTGTGGTAAGATAAGTTATTCTCCATAAAGGTTCTGTAAAAATACATTGAAATAGTTATGTTCTTTTTTGATGTACCTATTATTAAACCTTGGATTTAGTAATCTTCAAATTTAAAAACATTTTATCTCTTGGCAGTGGTTATTGTAGTTCTCATTTTCTTCTCTTTTTAATTTTCTTTTTCCTCTTCTGACATCTTATTTTGAATTTTTAAATAGTTCTGTCTGCAGTTTTCTTATTTTTCTTTATTTCTGTTTACCAGATTTGGAGGAGACCAACCAGTATACATCAATATTATTAGAGATCCTATCAATCGATTTTTATCTAACTATTTTTTTCGCCGTTTTGGAGACTGGAGAGGGGAGCAGAACCATATGATCCGTACTCCAAATATGAGGCAAGAGGAGAGATATTTAGTAAGTTATTCCAAATGTTGCTGCCCCAAATTTATTACTTTATTAACAAGTTTTAGAGTTGTGGTGATGTCTTCGGATAACTGATGAAAATGAGAACAGCATAAACATTGATGACTTGATCTTGGATGAGACAACTAATTTGGCATGTTTTACATGGACCTGGTTGGGTGAGGGGAGTGAATAAAGTGGTTCCAATTCCTCACCAAATTTCTCTGAACAGAGACATCAGTCACGACTACTTAGGGAATTGGAGTTGCTGGACTTAGTGTAGTGTCTTTTTCCTGCCCAGATGACTTGTTCAGCAGTCTTTCACATTTGACTGTTCTTGAAAAAGGAACTAAGAAAAAATTAGTATTGCTCTGCCTTATTTGGGGTGACAAGTGTGATGCTGAAATCCGCCAGTGGTGAGGTACTAGATAATTTCAAACGCACGTGCAAAAAATATCCTGTCAAGAGCAGCTTATGACTTCATGGCAATAGTGGTCTATAACATACCACATCAGTCCCAGCAGGCTGATGACATAACTTAACTTTTGCTTTGGATCTGTACAATGGGGCAATATTTGGCCCTTTTGTCATAGATAACTTACTACCTGATAGGGTTTAAAGAAATCCATTGCAGTGGTGGGAAGGAACCTATTAGGAAGTTCAGCATACAGAACAAGCAGTATCCAAGCAGTTTTATTTTGGCTTTATGAGAATTTCCTCCAGTGATAACTAGTGATTCTTCAAGGGCTTGATTAGTCTCTGAAATAGAAGAATCCAGATATTTGATACAATTGCTCCTGAACATCCTTCCTTCCTACCCCCCCCCCTCCAAAGTTTTCAGAGAACTAGGCAAGCTTTCTAGTTCTTTAGCAATCTCAGGGCAATGAAGCACGAGGGAGAAGAAATCCACAATTAATCTGATCTGTGTGTGTGTGTGTGTGTTTATGTGTGTGTTAGAGACAGTTTTTCACCAGGATTTCATTGAACAAAATTGTCTAGTAGAGCTGTTCCAAATTTGAGCAAGGCATCATATTCATCAAAGAAATGTGAAGAGAGTAATTTTAATCCCCAGCATGATTTTTTTCCTCTAGAATCCTTATTACAGTAGCATCAGCTTTGGTATATGTTCCTGATGGGGAAGAAAATTAATTCTTATTTAAATCTTTCCATAGAGGCTATTAGTTGTCTTTTTCATGTAGCTTGAGAATATTAATTTTACAAGGGACTGTGTATTATTTGGTGGCTTCTAACATTTAATGGCAATTTGTTTTACTTGTTTTCCTATTACTCTGTATTCTATTTTAATGAAAAGCTTTTTGAGCTTAGAAAAGGCAGTAAATGTTTTAAATAAAATTATACTTATTGGATACAATAAAGTGGTGCATTCTCAACTAGCTTTATTAATTTTGAATGTTTGTATGCATTTTTAATTTTGAAAATAAATTAGTTTCAACATACCATAACTTGCAATAGAAGCCAAAAAAGTTTACTGAGAAGTAAACTCCTTTACATTTATTATTATAGAGGTATAATCACTCTACCTTCCTCATGCTGGTATCATTCTGCTGTTAGAATGAAATGCAACTGATTGTTGGCATTTAAATGGTTTCAATGAATTTTATACTGCATTATATTAACCTGAGATGCTACTGAGATCTGGTCCTTCGTGCTACTTACATAGCAGTTTTTGCCCTCTCTTTCTGCTTTGTGTATTATACATTCTGAGGTTATTTGTTTATCTCTTTGCTTTTATTTATTTAATAAAACAAAAGAAAAAAAAACATTCTGAGGCTGCATGGTTTTGCTTCGATGTAAGACTTACTATCGATCAATAATTCAATGCAGATTAAGTGTGGAAGTGACACTTGGTTTTGTTATTCTATTTCTTTAAGTTCTTAAGGCACAGTACCAGCTGTTTTATAGTTACAAACTGATGTAAGTATAGGAGAGATCAACTGCCCTGGAAAAACATATGTGAAGTCCTTGGTGCTCTCTGAGCCTGGTTGTTTGCTTGCAGTTGTTTCATTACCCAGCTAGGTAACATCAGTGTGAGTGAGTGTGGGGTTTGCTCCCTGTTTATATTACAGTTGCTTGCCCTGCCAGTGTTGGTTGGGGTGTGATTTTTCTCTTTGGTAGTTCCTTGATTGGGGTATTGTTTTCTGCTTGATTGTTTGTCTGGTGTTAATCCCTGTTTATCTGGTTGTTGGCTGCTGGAGAGGATGTGTTCTGGTCTTTTTGTTTT